TGTATTTGATTTAGATTGACAAAAATCTTTCACTTTTAACTTAGTTGTTTAGTACATGTAACACTTAAGGTAATTACTGGCAAATCTAGATTTAAACTATTTACCTAACTATTTTCTTGATCCCACTGGTTTATTTTCTTGTCTTTTTTTTTGCCTTCTTTAGAGTATCATTGCTTTTAATTGGTCTCTATTTTACCTATGTTAAAATTATTCCAGTGGTTGCTTCAGAGACTTGTAATATATTTCTCATGAATTCATTATCTTCAATGACTATTGCTAATACTTCCCAAAATGTAAAAGAACCTTGTAACTGTTTAGCTCCATAATTCTTATTCCTTTGTTGCATCATTTATATATTTTACTTTTATATTTTATATACCTCACAATACACTGACACAGTATTGTTTTATAGAGCAAAAGCCATTTTCCATACATTCATCTTTAATAGTGGTCACTATTCTTACACCTTTAACATTTTAACTCTTTCACATGATTTTTTACCTTCATAATTTTTTTTTTCATAATTTCTGTTAAAAAGCCTGCGTTCAGTTTTATTTTTGCTCTGTGAAACAGCAATATTTCTTTTCTTGCTACTTTTAATATCCCTGCTTCTGGCTGTCAGCTATTTGATTATCTTGTCATTAGGTATGTGTGGTCTTATTTGATGTTTGTGGGCATTTCTGTGAATCTAGGCTGCTGTATTTCAGTTTCAAAAATTCTTTTCTTTTTTTTTCCCCTGTGGCTGGCCTCAGCCCACCATGGAGGCAGGGCTGGCTTGGCATGTGGTGCTGAGGATCAAACCATAGTCCCTGCACACTTGCCTAAAGCTTGCCTGAGCAGGCACTTTGGACTGCTGAGCCATCTCACTGGCCCCAAAGTTTTCATTTTGCTTTTCATCTTTTTTTTTTTTTTTCAGTACCAGGGATCAAACTCAGGACCTTGCACTTGCCAGGCAGGTACTTACACTACTGAGCTACCGCCTGACCCAAAAGTTCTTCAACCATCTTTGCTCTTTTTTGGGGGGAGGGGTTACTGGGAATCAAACTCTGAACCTTGCACTTGGCCAGCCAGTACCACTGAGCTACATCCCCAGCCCTGTTCATCTTCATCCTACTGTAATTTACTTTAAAACTGATTATGGTCATTACTCTTGACCTCTGTTCTATGTTTTTTTTTAAAGCTGTTCACTTTATATATGTATTTCCTTTTGACCTGCTTTGAGTTCTGTTAATTGTATTCTTTTATGTTCAGTTGGTTGTTTTTGTTTCCAGTATTGGGAATTCACCTCAGGACTTCATGCTTGCCAAACAGGTGCACCACCATTGAGCTATATAGCAGGCCCTTAGTTGGCTATTAACATCCACGGAGTTCTTAATTTTAGATACTAAAATTTTTAGCTATAGAACACCCACTTACTGTTCTTGTTGAAACTCTGCATCTTCATTCATTTTGTTTATCTAACATCTTCAACATGTTTAACCATGGTTAGGATATTAGTGTGATATCTTTTGTAACTATCATCTATGAGTTTGGTTCTTTTTTCCTGTTCTTTTTACTACCTGTCACATTTCCATGCTGCTACTGCTAAATTTTACAGTTTTGGAGGATAAAATACAATAAATTGCATAAATTTAAATGTACAATTTTATTGTTTAGGCAATGTACATTCTATGAAACCACAACTCAAGATGAAGAATACAGGGCTGGTGAGATGGCTCAGTGGTCTAAAGCACCTACTTAGAACAAGCTTAACAAAGCAGAGGGACCACGGTTCAATCCCCCAGCACCACATACCAGCCAGCCCTGCCCCCTGGTGGGCTGAGCTGGCCACACACACAAACACACACACACACACAAAAATAAATAAATAAATAAATAATTTAAAAAAAAAAAGATGAAGAATACATTAATCATGTTCAAGTTCCTCTATGCACTTTTGAAATAGTAACCTGTTCCATTCATCCATTTGGATGCCTTCAAACTAACAGCCCATCATTCTTATTATTGTGGCTTTGCAGAAACTCTCCTTATATCAGTTCATATAAGTCCTCCAATTTTGTTCTCCCTTTACAAAGCTGTGTTGGCTATTTTAGTTCCTCTGTATTTCCACATAAATTTTAGAATCCATTTGTCAATTTCTACAAAAAGAGCCTGGTGGTATTTTAGTGGAAATAATGTTGAATCTAAAAATCAATCTGCAGAAAACTGAAACTTAATAAAATATTGAATCTTTTGATCCATTAACACCATTTATCTATTTACTTAGGTTACTTTTAATTTCTCAGTATTTTAATTTTCAGTTTGCTGGTCTTGCAAGTTTCTCAGACTTTTATTTTTGAAGATATTATAAAGGGTACTTTTGTGCTGGTGATATAGCTCAGTGGCACAGCACCAGCCTGGCAAGCGCAAGGTCCTGAGTTCAATTCCTAGTACCTAAAAGGGGGTATTCAAAAATTTTTAATTTCTAATCATTTGTTGCTAGTATATAGAAATGTAATTTGTTGTTTGCATATTGCTTGCACCTGCAACCTTGCTAACTGCACTAGATCTTTTTGGAGATGCCATAGATGACCACAGTATTTGTGAATAATGAGAATCTGGCTTCTTCCTTTCCAATGCATGCATTTTAGCTCCTTTCCTTGACTTTCTGCATTGGGTTGAACTTCTAGTTCAATGCTGAATAAAAAAAAGTGAGCACTTAGTCTTTTTTAATGGGAAACATTTTATATAAAAAAACAAATGGGGCTCTAGATGTGTATAATATCCCATCAAAGGGGGATACTTTTCCATCTGTTCAGTCACAGGCATGGGAAAGCTGAAAGACAACCCTGGAGAACACTGCACTGGAACTGCAGCTTTAGTAAGGCTTGCTTTCTTCCTGTTCCTGGGGCCAGTGTGCAAACTCCTTCCTAATACCCAGGAATCCACTGATTGAAATGTTAGTCACATTTTTAGCTCTTCTAAGTTCCCACTGTGATGGTCGTGCTCTACAATCACCAAAATCCCAGAATCCACAAATGCCTCTAGGGAAGAAAATATCCAGCAGTCCTCAGCTTGCTTTGGAAAGTTTTCCTATCCCTTGGAATTCTCATTCACTTTGTCACTGTCACCTCCAGTTCCCAATGTCTATAATTTGCAGCAAAAACAATGGGCTTCCATGACAATACCTTCCAACCCTCAAGCAAAGCTCCTCTCACTCCTGTCACACCTGCATCTTTAATGACTGGGCTCTTAAAAATGAACAGGTTGACAAGAAACTCTAATGATTCACTGGTAAAAATTTAAACAGAGAGGGTGAAAATTAACTTCTTTGTTTGATTAAATGTAAAGGTTCCAAATAATAGAGATGTTACAAATACCTAATCTTTATTGTAAGTATTAAAATGGAAGGATATAACTTATGGCACTGAAAGTATCCATTAGTTGAAAAATTCCCCAGGCTAAAGTGAGCGCTTGCTCTTGGCCAAACTACACTTTTAAAAAAAAAAAAAAAAAAAATGTATTTGGTTGTTGCAGGCTTAGACTAGTGGTGATCCTCCTGCTTTCAGCCTCCCCAGCACTGGGATTACAGGTATGCGCCACTATGCCCGGATCCTGGGGTTGGGGCTGGTATGGCCTGTCGTGCCAGGGATCAAACCACAGTCCCTAGGCTTACCTAAACAGGTGCTTTAGTCCACTGAGCTATTTCACCAGCCCCTAAACTACACAATTTCTAAAGCTATATCTTCACATCCTATCTTTCAAATATAAAAATGTGAATGAATCCAAAGCCACACAACCAAAAGCTGAACGTGGTAGCCTTGATGTTAAAGAGACTAGAACTCAGGATAAGTTCAGAAGCAGACAGTGCAAAGACAACCATATGGAGCTGAACCTTGTTTATTTCCCGCCATGTGACTATAGACTACAGACTCTCCTTAACGTCTCATGTAATTCAAAGTGCTATGTGAGGTCTTAAAAAACCAATGGACCCAGTGGAACAGAAGCACAAGATAATCACTTGCCACTGAAAATAAAATCCCAAGGCCAGGGAGAAAGGTCAGTGGCACTCTGGCAAGCACACCCAAGTTTGATCCCAGTACCCCCCCTCAAAAAAGAAGTTAAAAAATAAAATTCCTAATTATCATTTTAAGAAAATAATATTACTTGGGACAGGAGCTAAGCTAGCAGCTTTACTGAGTAAGAATTCAGTAGAATCAACTTAATTTTCTACACATTTGCAAGACTACCATTAACTTAGAAATAAGTCTTTTGATTTTCCAGAGATATAGGGTAAAGCTCATCAATGTTTCATCAAAAAGAAAAGAATAGCTAATTTTTCAAAACATTAAGATGATAGGAGTTAAAATACTTACTGATATAGCAAGAGTTTCATTCTTATGGTCAAAATGCATTTTTCCACAATAGGCCCGTTGCGATAGTAAGTTGTCAAAGTACAATTTGCATCGTAAAGTCAAACACCTTAAAATAAATTGAACACATAAAATAGGATACAGAATAAAGATACAGAATTGTACATCTAGCATGATCTAAGCACAGACAATGTGAACACTGGTTGTCTACTTAACAGGTAAGTGTGACTGCTTTCCCCCTGTGTTTTGTATTTATTTCTACTCCACATTTAACCAACTCATTCTCTTTTATGATAAAAATCTGTAAAATGAACAAAAAAAGTAATTACAAATTCAGTATACTCCATATACCAGTCTATATAAATGTATCAATCACTCAACTAATTTATACAAAGCATTATTGCTCTAACACATAAGACATAAATTTTTTTTTTTTTTTGAGACAGGATCTTATTCTGTAACTTAAGCTGGACTTGAATCCACTTGAGCCCAGGCTGGCCTCAAACTTGGACCATTCTCACACCTCAGCCTCCCAAATGCTGGGATTACAGGTATGTGTCACCACACCTGGATATTCATACATCTTGTCCTTAAAAGGATTAAACTACAGTCATGAGGATGATAAATTGCCCATTCATTTGCCTGTTTCCTCCCAACTTCAACTACAAATACTAGCAAAGAGGTCGAAGGGAGTCTTTTATTCATTATCTACTGGTAACACCTTGGATTGTACAATGTCTGGCACGATGCAAGTGTCATCCTTACTTCTGCACATTAGATGAGGATGTACTAAAAGGAAGAACTTCTTCGCTCCTCACCTTTATATACTCACCTACCTTTCTATTTACAAGGACAGAGTCAGGGATTCTTATTTTACTCTCAGAGTCCGTCTTGACTCATCCATAAAGACACATACATACACTGTGATCCTCAAATCACCCCAGATTTTGCAATGGATGCCCCCTCAAGCTTGTCCCCCACACTTTTCCTCTCTTCATTCCTCTTTCTCTTCCCTTCCCTTCATGGTAAAGAGGCTCTGTACCTTCCTTACCAGGTCTAGAATCAGGCATTCTGTTGGAACCCTGGTTCCTTGGGGGGGAGGGGAGGCATTTCTAATGTAAGGTCAGAGTGACAGGTAACTGGCTACTTTTTCTTAAAGTCATTACTCTTCAACAAGCATATGGCTTATATCTTCAGAATCACAATGATTATATTCTTTTCCCTCCTATTTATCTCCCTAAATTTCATTAATTTCCTACACTAAAAAACAATATTCTAAGTTTTCTTTTGCTGCCAAGGCTACCATTCCTAGCTAGTTCTTAGAACTCCCTATTCATTGTTCTTTCACTACTAATATGTATTTTTTTTTAGACATAATCAGCCTTATCAGCAGCAAGAACTACACAGGCAGAGGGAAGTACGGGTACTCCTAAAGTGGGACACTGATATGTATTCTTTACCTGTTTTAAAGTCGTGGGATGCTAGAAACAACAAATAGTCTATTGTCATGAAATGGCAAAGTTCTCCAGAGTAAAGAGGGGAAATGATTTTAAAAACTTCGTCATTTTATTCTCCTCCTAAGACTGGGTGATCAATGTAAAGCATGTCAGTGGTGCTGCACTGTCGCAGGACAGTAACCCGTAAGTCCAAGGCTTTTACAAAAAAATCTGTGATATACCAATTTCTAGGTAATGACATAAAGACTACTAGATTTGGAAAATATGTATGTAGTGATAGGAATTAATTTTCTACTTAAAACTAAAAATCTAAGAAAAGCATATAAAATAAGAGTTTTGGTATCAGCACAGGCAGCTCCCATCAAATTGATCTCTGAGGCAGGAACAAATGAACCGAGTGCTACAAATACTCCAAGTCAGAAGTCAGGGAGTACATAGCTCAGTGGAGCCCACCCTCTGTGGCTATGTCCAGGCAGCAAGGAACAGGATGGGGGGAGTGATGGGGGGACAACTCAGAAGGTCTGCCAGGCTTCTGAGCCCATCCTGAGCTTAGCATTCATTAGTGCATATGTGGAAACACTACCTAATCCTGGGGAAAAAAGTACTGAAAGCACAAGCACCCCAGAAGCTCATATGGAGTCTGGTTAATTCATGTCACTATTGGCTGGACTGAAAATGTCACGATCCTCAAGGTACAGGCAGAGTTCTCAGAATGCAGTCTCAAAGGAAGCTAAAGCTTAAAAACAGCCTCAAAGGCAAAGAAATGAATCCCACTCAAAATTTAATACTATACCTATAAAATTGAAAAACAATTCAGAGTACTTGCAACGGAAAGAAACAACAAATGTCTGGAATTATGAATATGCCAATTGCCCCGACTTGAACATTACATATTGTACACATGTACTGAAATGTCACACTGCACCCCATAAACACAGACAACTACCATGTGTCAAATAAAAATTAAAAATATATTTTAAAAATAACTACAAAATACATTTCAAAACATATAATTTTGTTAAGCAGTATGGTCAAACATTTCCCTTTATGAGTAGCTAAATTTCACCATGTGTGCTATAGTTAGGTATACTTTTATTCACCTGTGGTCTTAAGGTTGTAGAATTGTAGGTATGGAGATATTTAAGATGCTCTAAAAGTACGTTAGTGAAAATGCCATTGTGGTAAACAGGTAAGTGGAAGGCCTGAGACTGCCCCAGATCTAAGTCTACTAAGTAAGAGCTCTTCCTCCGTATCAACTGCCCTTTGGTTTACTTCTGTTTCTTAGGATACTAATTTGGGGTTGCTCCACCTCTGAACGTCTGTGCTTCTCAGCAGAGGTAATTAATATCCAGTCTTCCAAGTACTATACTCACTTCCTACTCAACAAATGTGTATAAAGAGCCCAATATACTTCAGGCACACTGCAAGATACAGCAATAAAGAGAACGGTCTCAGGAAAAATAAAAGAAAGAAAGAGAACCGTCTCGGTGTTCATGCAGCATTGCCATTCTGAGATGGTGCCTCCACAGAGCTATCAGATTCCTGTCTCCCTTAACAAAGCACGGTGGGCTAGGTGTGGTGGCACACATCTATGATCCCAACACTTGAGAGGCTAAGATCGCATCTAAAAAAAAAAAAGTTCAACGGAAGGCTGTCTTCAGAACCAGTGAGTTCTCACTGGAAGTAGCCAGGTGAAGAACGATTCATTAGGAATTACATTATGAAAGATCTCTAATGAAATGGAAAGGGTAGATACACTTGCTATATAAAGGTTCTTCAAATCAGAATTCTTTGATTAAATTACAAAATCCTAAATACTAAATGATAAAGAAAATATCTAGTTTCTACCCACAGTTGAAACTTTTTTAATATTTCATTGTTTATTTTTTGTCTAATAGATGTTTGTGAGAGTGAGCTATTGTGATTCCCCATTAAATTTTTTTTCCATAATTTTATTGAGAAATAAATAGCAATGAGACAGTTTCAAATCAAATTGGTAGGACAGTTTCAATAATTAACACATTGCATACAGCTTTCCTAGTGGTTATTTGTTGTACAAGATGCAGACATCATATCCTATTTACAAACACAATTAGAACAAATCCCTCAATTCCTTGAATTAAGAGAATGTAGCTATGTATCTATCCTAATCATTTTGAATACACTGATACAAAATGGTCATTTATCTATATCCCCTTTTCTTGTTTAGTTCTGTCATTTAAATATTATAGGTGTGTGAACTCAGCAAAATATTCTAAAAGAGTCCAGTAGTCCATAGTAGTACTGGGTCTTCCACTTGACCGGTAATATCAGAAACTATTGACCTGAGTGCCCTACAGCTCAACATAACATGGCTTTACTTCTTATACTGCATTTTCATACTTATCTGCTGGATGGTTAAGACCAAGATAAAGCAAAACCTATGTAACAAGAATTGTAGCTTTTGGATCTGATAAGGTCAGTCAAATCTCCTATGGATTTATCCTGAGACCCTGTACCTCAGTTTGTAGATCCTCTGTTCGTGTCAGCCATGTGGATGAGTCACGGCCACTGCTTGGCCAATTTGCTCTCTGTGAAACCCTGAGAGAATGTTTTCTCTCCATGTGACTCTACTTAGGCACACTACATCATCGATCACTTTCCTCTTTGGCCCAATAATCTCCTTGGTCAGAAAATTTGGGATATAACTGAGTTACATGATGTTACAGTACAGGTCCTCATATGTCCTGAGTCTTAATTGACCTTGGAAGGCTAGGGCCAAAATGTTGGTTTTCCTTGTGGCCCTCCTTTTTCTCTAACTTTTGGCCTGCAAACTTAGGTTGTTAACCCTCCAAAAGAGAAGCTTATTGTTATTACCATATAACCTAGGCTGTTGAGCTTAACCTCACTATCTGTCTGAATATCAAACATCTTAGGCCATAACATGGAACAGGTATTTTTCATAAAGTATTGATATATTAAACTTTAAGTCCCTACAGAATATGACAAAAACATTTAGAAAATTAAACTATATTTCAAAAACAGGAATAAAGAATTATATATGTTTACACATAAGTCCAGAAATCTAACCATATACGACATTGTTGCAGGACAGTCCCACAACACTCCTTTTCCTGTCTCCTGTCTTCATTTACCACCCCCTTCCTTTTTAAACAATCATCTACCCAAGAGACAGCATGGCAGCCACAGTTGAAACGTATAAAGGTCTTAATTTCATTATCTACAAACAATAATGAAAAAACAAAAACACAAAAATGCATAATATATAGTAATATTTTTAATGTGCTTACCTCCTAAATTGTTGGTATGTTTTGTATCTGTGGGTCATTATTTCTTCTAGCAACTTAATAAATCTTTTTAAAGTTCTCACTTTATTATCCAGGTCAAGATAGGTTTCTCTTGCTTCCTGGTACTGCCTATTTCATGGAAAAAAAAAAAAAAAACAACTATGTAAGTAAATGGTGCACAAACAGAACAAAACAAAACAAAACAAAAAAAAAAACAAATACAGGTAGGGCAATAGCAGAGGAGCACAACGGTAATTGATTTCATCAATTTCCAGTCAAAATACATTCCTGAGATGAGGAAATGCTACCCATGGGACTGTCACGTTGAAGAGGACAAAATACTAGCTTCAAAGGAGGGAAAGATACCTTGCTAACTGTTTTAAAAGCTATTAGTTATACAAGCCAAAAGAAAAACACCGACTGTATAAAAATTTCTGCACAGTCAAAAAATCCTACAAAATATTAAAAAGCACATTGATACACATTGCTTAGACTCTTAGGGAAACAGGCACTTTAATGATGCTGATGAAAATACAAAATAAGTATCATTTCTAGAAATGGAAGTTTAGGGCCAGGGAGATAACTCTGTCATCTGTCACGTTCCAGAATACAATACATCTTAAAAGTACATCTAAAAGGTCCTTGAAAAGAGGTTAAGTACTTAAAGTTATAAAAACTGAAAGTATAACATCAAAGAGGACGATCTATGAAACACTTTAGGCAGTGTGCTACATTGTTTATCTGCAAAGACTGAAAACAACTTCCCACACCTGAGAAAGTCTGTTTAACACACAAGGAGAGAAGTCAGGGGATGATGAAAACAGAACTACAACTTTCCATGCACATCTGTTTTTCCACACTTGCACAATTCCATCTACTCACACCACACTCAATACATATAATATGAACACCACACTGCAGTCCATAAATGTGTACAATTAGCCGAAATAGTAATACATTTTAAAATTCAAATGTAAATCACCTATTTTTAAAAGGCCCTTATCTCACTATTTTGATGTTTTCTCCTTTATTTTCCAATGTTCTTGAATATAAACCTGAGACCATTCCAGATTTCTCCATTTCGGCTGTGTTCAGAGCACACAGTGATGACATCTGCAGAGGGGGGCTGGGGTCTGTACACAACACACCCTAATTCTTGCTCCTATCCCCTCGTTCCCTCCCTCCACTGTGAGGTGCTTCACAGGTAAAGAGCTGTAACATATATATATATATATATATATATATATATATATACACACACACACACACACACACACACACACACTTCGAACAGGGTCTCCAGGGTGTCACTACATAGATCAGACTCATAGTGATCCACCTGTGTTCAGCCTCCCAAGAACTGGGATTACAGGCGCACACCACCACACCCAGTCTCAACCGCGCTCTCAGCATGCCCCAGTGGTGGGGCCAGCACTACACGCTGTGGAGTGAACCCCAGCCATTGTGCTCTGCCTCAGCAGGCACATTAGTCCACTGAGCTATCTGGCCAGCCCAAGAGCTGTAACTTTCATCTAACCATTCTCCAACAACTACACAAGTTGGGATTTTCCAGTGTTACCAAAAATGCTGCAACAAACAACTCTTAGCAAAACACTTTTTTCATTTTTGTTTCAATAACAAAATAATTTGATGCAATGAAATTTTACCTTTATTCTAATATTAGAATTCTAACTTGCAGTAAAAGTTTGAAGTTTACTTTGTTTGCTTGTTTGTGACAAAGTCTCACAAAGTTGCTAAACTTCCCAAGTTGCGCACAAGCTTCCTCAGCCTCCCAGAAGCTCGCATTGCAGACACGCCCCCAACCTCAGAAAGCATTACAATACACTTGTTGTGTAGAGATTAGATCCAGGGAAGCTAAAGCAATATACACAGGGCAGCACTGCAACAGAGATGCTCTTCCTTCAGAGCCTGTGCTCCAATTACACCACGCTTCTTCTGCTTTCTGTGTGTGCTGCTGGACATGAACTGAAGGCTTAGTGCCTGCCAGCAAACGCTGCCCAGCTGAGCCACATCCCCAATCCTGGGCTTGTATTCTTATAAAGTTGATTACTTTCCTGTCCATATGAATTTTATAGACATAAAAAGACATTTATATTAAAATGTCATTCCATAATTTAATAATTCAAAAGAGAAAAGATGTTTTTAATAGCACATATTTTTTAATCTTATTTATTTGGTACAAAGTCTCTTATTACACAGCTCAGACTTGTAGTGATCCTTCTGTCTCAGCCTCCCCAGCACTAGGCCTGGTTTCGGTGGCTGGCACAGCACGCCCAGAGTTCCTGGGCCAGGACAGCTTACGGTACCTGGGATTGAATGTACTTGCTAGGCAGGTGCTTAGACTGCCAAGCTATCTCCACAGCTCTACTAGCACATATTTAAAAAATGAATTCAGCTGTAACTATCTATCATAGCAAAACCTCAATTTATAGAATTACATGTTAATGCTTTTTTTTTTCCAATACTGGGAATTAAGGCCTTTGGACTGAGCTCATACCAAACCTTTTAAATTTTATGTTTATTTTGAGGAGGGCCAAGAAAATTGGCCAGGCTAGGCTTGAACTTTCCACCCTTTTGCCTCAGCCTCCTGGAGTACCGGCACTGCAGGCTATGCTATCACACTTGGGCATTTAAATGTCTTCATAACATACATGGATGATACAGTAAGTATAAAAGCTGCTGGCCACTTACCTCATTATTTCTTCTCGATCTCCATGACTAGCATGTTCTGCCTGTATCTTTTGTCTTAATCGGTTAATTTCTTTGTCTAGCATTGATGCAGACTTTTTTACTTCTATCCGTTCTGGGCAGATCTGTCTTGCTTGTGACATTTTCTCCTAGAAAACAATACTCAGTTTTTTTCTTTTTGGGGGAGGTTTCATTTATAAACAACAACAAAAAGTGCAAAGCCCTTTTACAATGCAGTAACTATTTTTTACTTACAACCTTCTATATTACAATCTTAAAAGAACTGGATTACAGACTTTAAATTGTTTTCCTTAAAATAGATCAAAGCAAAGCAAAACCATTTCTTCTACTTACAAGACTACTTTCAAATTTATTCTCTAGAAACAAGGCTACTATGTAGTTGTCACCCAGCTTCTCAGAGGAGAGGTCTCTGTGACTAACGCTGGGCTGAGGAGCTGTGGCACTGGGACAGAAAGCAGCACTGCCCCAACCACTCAGGAGATACTGGGCTGTAGAGCCCTGCCTTCTGAGGGCCTCATATGCTGCCAATTTTCTCAAACGCTCCCTTATTTTACAGGAAACAAATCCGGAAAACTGTCCACATTTTGCAAACATGACATTAAGGAAAACACATTTTAGGACTAAGAGCTGGACATAGTGGCACACACCTATAATCCCCACACTCTTGGAGGCTGAGGCAGGAGGACAGCAAGTTGGGGCTCAGTCTCAGAGACTCAGTGAGACCCTATTGCCAAACAACAAACAACACACAGCTGGGGATGGAATTGAATGCCAAGAAATGGGGTTTGAGCCCCCACACTGCCAAAACCCACAGGTGTAAATAAACAGTCTGAAATGAGACAGCAAGAGTAACCTCTAGCTCTTTTTCTTTCATGTCCAGTTCTCGCTTCTTTTTATTTAAAGTATCCAAGTGTTCTTTTTGTTTATCTTCATAATGCCGCTTCCCTCGTTTCTGGTTATCCACCTCAGAATCAGCAAGGTTTAATTCATCCTGTTTGAATAAAGCCAAAATCACCGATAAAGATTAAAAACAAACGAACAACAACAACAAAAAACTCTTCCAGCCTAGGTATAAAATTAGGAACTGAACAGAATCTAATCAGGTTCTTTAAAAAGTCAGAGTTCATGTTCCTATGTATCTGTCTTTTGGAGGCGTTTTTGGTACCAGGAATTGAGCTGAGTATTGTGATGTTGAGCTAAATCCTGGGCTTCCTATGTATCTGAATAAAGGAGATTCCTCAAATTAAGAAGTCGTATTATATTCAAATTCTTATAGAAATTCACAAAATAGTATTTCTTCAATTTCATTTTGGCAAATATGGTAATTTTAGCTTTAAAAATCTAAAACAGCCCAACAGTTGGATATAGCTATCTTACCTGGATGATACTGAATCATGCATAGTTTGTTTTTCATTATATATACTACATATGTATGATAAAGTCTAACTTATAAATTAGACACAAGAAGAAATTAACAAGTGGAACTAAAATATAAGTTTAGACCTATACTGTAGTAGGTTATATGCGCACAGTCTCTCTCTTGAAAGAGGCAACACAAGTAGTATTTCTTGACTATAGTTGACCACGAGTTACTGAAAGTACAGAAAGTAAGATGTAGATGAATGAGGACTAATGCATATGTAATTCTTTTTTTTTTTTTTAATTTTTTATTTATTTATGTGTGTGTGTGTGTGTGTGTGTGTGTGTGTGTGGCCAGCTCAGCCCACCAGGGGACGGGGCTGGCTGGCATGTGGTGCTGGGGGATTGAACTGTGGTCCCTTTGCTTTGCTAAGCTTATTCAAATAGGTGCTTTAGACCACTGAGCCATCTCACCAGCCCCCTGTAATTCTAAAAACTGAGTGAACTACAGTTATTAGAAAGGAACATTAAGAAATTTAAAGGCATGAAGGGACTGTGTTTCCTTTTCTGGCTGCAGGGATGGTTTCACAGGTTTGCAACTGTCAAAACTTACCAAATTACACTCTCTAACTGCTTATGGCTCCTGACTTAGAACCAAATTGAGTTTTTGTTTTGGTTTGGTTTGGTTTCTGGTGCTGGGAATCAAACTCAGAACTTTACCCTTGCCAGGAGGTGCTATACCACTGAACTATATCCCCAGCCCCCAAAGTGAGTTTTTAGATGAACAGGTTGTTCATCTGTTTTCTGAGCCAGACAATGGTCATTTACATTATGATTAACATGTTTCTTTTTAAGAGTTACAGCCACAAAAAAAAAAAAAACAAAAAAACAAACAAAAAAAAAAACCAGTATCATCTCGTGACTCATCCTCATGTCAGACACTGACAAAAGGATGCACAAAAGGTGGTACAGGGCTACAGGATAAATCCTGAAAGTACTTGGCTGACCTTATCAGATATAAAAGTTACATTTCTTGGTATATAGGTCTTGCTATATCTTGGTCTTAACCATCTAGCAGAAAAGTATAAAAACAAGGTACATAAGGTAAATCCATATTAATATGATGAGCTGTAAAAGGCTCAAGTCAGTAACTTCTGAGGATAACCCACTAATATTATAGACTGCTAGACAGTGTTAGATTGTTTAGTTGAATTCAAACACCTATAGTATTTAGATGCCAGTAGAATATTCACCTCTGACAGGACAAAAAATAAATAAAAATTTTTAAAAATAAAAAATAAAAAGAGAATATTCAGATATCCAGAAAAGAAAAACTACTATGCATATCAGAAACTGAGAGATTCTCCTAGTACAGAAAATCATCTATTTTTCCAGGCTTAACATGGTTCTCATTCCCTGCCTAACAAATTAAATTTATAATCAAGGTGTTAAGTTTGCAAGTGTAACTCAAAATGTGCTCAAAGTGGAAAAAAGATTCCCTAAGCCATGATTTTGATGATATATTTAAGCAGAACACTCCACATTCCAACCAGCTCTCCAACACAAACTGAATACAAATCTTGAGGACAAACAGATTATTCTGCTACCTAAATCCTCTTGATATTGTTGTTACTGACAACTAGGGTGATGCCACACAAAAAAGGAAAAGCCTCTTGCTGATGGCATGCAGGTTTACTGAAGGACTCATTTCCTACAGCTACAAAACAGATCTGGGGGTGCAGCCCAGTGATAGCATGTTTGCTTACCATGCATGAGGCTCTGGTTGGTATACAAATTTTTACTCACATACTTGTAAATATTACCTTACCTTTATTCTAATTTCACTATTTTTAACTACTGAGACCTAAATTTTTTATATTCTTGAAAAAAATATTTTTTGTGACAAGGTTTCTCTAAGTAGTTCAGATTGACCTTGATTTCATTTATGTAGCCTAAGCTGGCCTTGAACTCATAGGGAATCCTACTGCCTAGCCTCCCACTGCTGATCACAGGCATACCACCATACCAGCCTTGTTCTTGAAATTTTTAATACTTATTTTATTCTTCATTTCCTTTTAAAACTACTTTATCTTACTTTATATTTTTGGAACTTTTACCTTTTAATTCTTATTTCACAATGCAATATTTTCTCATTTATCTTTTTCAATAATCTTCAATATTTTCCTACTTTCAACTTTAATACTTAAATTCTATATTCATCTTAATCAGTTAATTTATCAACTTACTTTCTCATTTTTTTTCTTTTCCTCATAAAAAGAAAAACAATCCCAGCCAGATGGAAGGCAAGTGCAGAAAAAGAAAGCACCACAAACAGGGCAGAGCTGCTTCTGTGCAACTCCTCCTCAGTCCGGCTTTAATTCTCTTCGAACTCTGAATAACACTTCTGAAGTTTTCAATGAGGACAAATAAGTTCATATACTTCAAGTTCTTCTAAACTTGCAAAATACCTAAATAATTTTGATTCAAAGGAAGCAATTTTCCTAAATATCAGTGCTGTCTTGTATCATAAATAACATTTGAGGTCCTGAAAATAACTGAGGTAGTCCTAAAAATGACAGTGACACAATAAGTTATATGATAATTACTATGCAAAATGGGAAATTTACATAATTAATTTCCCTAAATTTACTCTCAAAAAGTCAACTGAACTCAGCCTAGAATATATGTGACATGGGGCTGGTGAGATGGCTCAGTGGTCTAAGGCACCTACTTGGAACAAGCTTGGCAAAGCACAGGGACCACGGTTCGATCCCCCAGCACCACATGCCAGACAGTCCGCCCCCTGGTGGACTGAGCTGGCCACACACACACACACACACACACACAAATAAATAAATAAATAAATTTTAAGAATATATGTGACATGCTGAGTAAGCAGGAGGTGGGTAGCATTATATTTCAAGTGGGTTTCAGAAACTAATCAATTCATGAGTTATTGCTAGAAAGGTGGTACAACCAAACAGGCAAGCACAGAACAGTATATATTTTTCTGGCTTTTGGTTCCAGTAAAAAATAATCAGAAACTAAGAGGCAGTAAAGGATACTCTTGTGGGAGAAAATAAATCCAGCAATTTAGCTTCCTGCAAGCAAGAACAAAGGTGCTTAGCACTAAATGATCTAATGATGAAAATTTGGTTCTTACTGCTCTTCATATTTTATGTGATATGGATGTATTTACATCTAGCCAATAATTCTTTTAGGGCCATATCCATGCGTATAAACTGGATATGAAGCTACATAAAATACACAGAAAACAGATTAACAATTACATACATATACCTTCAGTGGATCTGCTAGCTCTGACAGTTGATTAATTTTCAACTTAATTGTATCATACTTGGTTTCTGCTTCTATTTTCAGACTTTTGAAATGCTCCAATTTTTTTTTTTGCTGCTCCATCTGTTTCTCAGTCATTTTCATTTTGATTTTATTGTCATGAGCTTCATCTTCCTGGTAATGTTTTAAAGAGGTCAAGAGTTAATACATTTCAATTAAAAAAGAAAATTCTGAGAGGAGAAATAAACTATCACCAAATTAGATAAAAGAAAAACACAAAAAAACAAAAACATTTTCACACTTATAATACTAAATTAGAAAACAAGTTAAAAATAAAAAGGGATGACATTTGGCAGACAAGTCAAACAAGACTGCTTGAGATGATTACTGATAGAAGTAGCTCTGATTCCCTCTACTCACCTTTCCCTATGTACTTAGAGGTTTATGTATATAAACATCTTGTGCAACAATGTGTCAGATATGGTTATCAAAAATTAAGATATATTCTATGCCTTTATGAAACTTGATATCAACAGAAGGAAATAAAGCAGAAAAGTGAAAAATGGATAAACAGATACAAGACTACCTGCAAAAAAACATGATAAAGGGCTGGAATACTTGTGCTCAGCGGCACAAGTATTTGCATGGCAAGCACAAACTCCTAAGTTTGAATCCCAGTACAAAACAAACAGACACAAAAAAACCTATGACAATTATCATCAAAATAAAGCTTTATCAGCACAAAGCATTTTCCTATTTCATTCACTGTTTATTCTTCAGTTCTTAATATGCTGCTATGAAGGGTGAACACTCAATAAATATTCAGTCATTTTACTACGCCTCATATTTTTATATCACTATTTACTGCACCTTAATAAAACCTAAGCCTGAATGTCATAAACAAATACAAAGAAAACATAGAATAATAAATATGTGGAAAATTAAAATGAAAGCCATTAACTTACGGAAAAAAGAGAACAATGGAAAGAGACCAATACCAACTGAACAGCAGGCAGCCCTGACATCTCTACATATTCACACTGATACTGTTTTAACTCTAAGAGTGCCTATGTGAAAAATGTCTTGTGTGATAAGTCACTGTGAAAAGCAGTTGAGTTCTTTTTTGCGGAACCGGGGATTGAACTCAGGCCCTTGGCTTATTCTACTGCTATCTCCCCAGCCCTCAGTTTAAGTTCTAATAGAGTTTTCTTTTAAGTACAAGATACATTCAATCATAACTGCTACATACATATGGCATTAAGAAATCAAACTCTGGGGGCCTGGCCATAGCTCAGTTCTTTAAGTGGCTGCTTCCACAAAGCTGTCAGCCTCAGGTTGCTGGAGTTCGATCCCCACAACACTCCGGCCTGTCCAACCACCCCTGACAGCATTCAGAGAAAAAAAAAAAAAAAGAAAAAGAAAAAGAAATCAAACTCTGCATCAGATAGCTCTTTCTATTGCATTTATGAATGGAGACAGCAATCTATAAATACTGAAGTTATAATCTATTACTAAGTCTATATTACTAAACTATGTTTATTATTAAATTTATGATCATTAAAAGTAACTTCAAAGAATTTTAAAGCATTTTAATTGAAGAAAAGCATTTACCAAGGTTGCAATGTCTATAGATTTGTGTTCTTCTATATTCTCAAGTTCCCGAATTTCAGAACTACTTTTTCTTATTTTCATCTGAAAGAAAAGTATTTAAAATAATACAAAAAAAAAAAAAAAAAACCTTAGAAAGGATGTGCTAATACATAAAATTCTACTATGCTTTATGACACAGATATAACTGATGAAAGGGGTATATACATTAGCATTAAATGGATTAAACAGAGGTCAATGTTGCTAATCCATTCCTATGAAAAAAGATGCAAGTTGCCCACCTTGGCATTTAAAATGATGATACTGTGAGTGCACAGAAAATATTTTTTAAAATACCCCAAGTCTCAAGTCATTAGAATTCTCTAACACAAGTGGTTCTCAAAGTAAGAGCCAAGTGACCCCTGGTGGCCCCTAAAACCTCTTTAGGAAATGCATGTAGTCAAACAATCCATAAATCACTATGGTATTATTCTCACACTTTTACTAGCACTTTTCTGACCTGTGTGCAGGTGACCTGTAACTAGATGATGTCTAATATCACAAAAGACTGAACTTTATTAAGCCAGACATTAGAGAATGCTAGAATTAAAAAGTAACCATATTCTCACTAAATCTTTTTAGGTTTTAAAAATAGATTTTTATACTATTTTTAAATTAACAAATATTCTTCAATTTTAAGACTTAATCTTAGACAAAGACCAAGAAGTAAAAATGTCTTAATTTTCTAAAATATAAATGTTAGTAGATATAACATAAATGAAAGCTTGTTTGAGAACATAAACGACTGAGGTCCACATGTCTGAGAACTACTGCTTGAGGAGAATGACAATATTTTAAAATTAATTTCAAAGTAAGTTGAGAAAAAAAGAATGATTCTTTTGCGTTTTGTTTTTACCTTTAACTCTTTATAATGTAGCTGGCACCTTTTAAGAAGTTCTTCATTTTGTTTAATATCCCTTTCACAAGCAGACAAATGTTGCTGAAGATTTATTATTTGGGCTTTCTTATTTTCAATTTCATTTTCCAAGTTGCTTAATGGAGAAAAGTGGATGAAAAAACACTTGAGACATATTTTTTCAACATTATGAATATCTGCAATACCTTACTTATAAATTCATAATCTGTTACGGCTATTTATTTCCTACTAAGTTATTAATATCATGAAACTCTATTACATAAATATCAAAAAATATTTTCAAAGATGGAGTCAAGTTTAACTTATTTTCCTAACAAGTATTAAAACCCCTTGCATGGTTGTAGGATAGAAGTAGAATTGAGATACAACTTCTCAAAAGAAAGAACAGCAGGGAACCCCCTGGACAGGACATAATACTGTATGTCCACAAACCTACTGCAACATAAAAGTGAGGCTGGGAGAAGGGACTGAACTGCATTCTCTTAAGTTTGCATTTGCTGGGCCTATTAGGACAGAAGAAAAAAGAAATACAGGGAGTGGGGCCAGAGATATAGCTCAGCAGCTTAAGCGCCTGTCTGACAAGCACATGGTCCACAATTAGATTGTTGGTACCGAAAGAAAAAAAAAAGACACATGCACAAAAAAAGAGGTGGTAATGATAAAGACAGATGTTAACTAGTGACTCAACATTTCTTGTGAGAGAAAAAAATGTCAAGAATGTATGCATGGAGAGAAGAAAAAGAGCAGGACAAGGAGATGAACTGAAGAACACAGGAGACAGATGCCACAGCTGTGAAGAGCCTCTGAGCAGCAGTCTCCTGCCCTTGGGAACAATTATCCTGCCTCATGGATCAGATTCCTGGTCTTCCGAACCTGTGTGCTTGGAACCACCCCTGTAGTGAGAAACTTTTTCCTGGTTAAGAGGGTAGGCTATGATCAAATGCATCATGTATTAGCCAGGTGTGGTGGCACATGCCTATAATCCCAGAGCTTGACAGGCAATCCCATTGAGGGATTCCTACAAATTTCAAGGCCAGCCTGGATTACACAGTGTGCTCAAGGCCAGCATGAACTACAGAGTGAGGGCCTATCTCAAAAACCAACAAACAACAACAACAACAACAAAAAATACATCATCTGCATGGAACCCCCAGACTCAGATCCCCAATGTGAAACTGGGGTAGATGGGACAAAGGGATAATGAGGGGTGAAAATGATTAAAGTACATTATATGCATGTCTGGATGTACCAAACTTGGACCGATCAATCTATGTAACCAATATGCACTAAGAAAAAAGATGGGGAAAAAAAAATGCATCACATTGTAACATCTCTAGAATCAGAAACCATTTCCAGCCCACAGTTCAAAGCGGCATTTTGCTCCTTTTAACTGGCACACAAAAACATATGCTAGTGTATAGAACAACAGTGCTAACTTAATGGAATGTTCATATTTTTAAAAAAATCTCAATAAATATTAGTTGAATAATGAATGATAAAATGGGAAAAAGACATTAGTTGTACCATTTCTGACAAAAATTAGATCAGATACAAAATTTAAATATGGCTGCATACTTAATATGAAATATTTTATCATATATGTCTATATCTTCATTAATAAACAGCACTGCTGTTAAAGGCAGGATTTACTAAGCAAATAGCCTAAATCAAAAATAAAAACCAACAAAATGATCAGACAATAGAGCTATTACATAATTTTCTGAACATTCAGAGTACATTCAAGCAATCAAAATAATTCATTCAAAATTTGCTAATTTTACATTATTTTGCTAGCTAGGAAGACTTGTCATGCATCAAAGGAGAAAGAACATTTGTCACATAATGGGAAAGAAAGTCTGAGCTAAGGGTGTGACTGCCTGTGCGAGACTAGCTCTCTCAGAGCGGGCTCCTCTTGCCCTGCATTATGCTCCATACTGTGGTTTAAGAGAAACAATGAAAGTATAAGATGTTCACACTCTACGCAAGTATGTAAAATGTTAAGTTTCTGACAATTCAAAATGTGCGAGTAATTATTCCATGAAATAGGAGCATTCTGAGAACTTGCTTATATATCATGTGTACTTTCATAACTGTAAATGGCACTGGGATAAACAAAATCAAGTGCCACATTAGGCAAGGTGTTGATCATTCAACTATCTTTCTGTTGCTAAGCAGTTTTATTCACCTTTCCTGTATGTGCTGCAGTTACTTTATGCTGCACTCATAAATCACCAATACTTACTTGAGAAAGCCTATTTTGATAAAATTCTCATTTCCTATACACATTTACAGAGTCACATTTTAGAATATGGATTTTTTTGCTCCATTTTCTTAGATAATTTCTTACACATATTATTTGGTTAAGATCTTTTGAGTCATTAAATCAGGTCCACTCAACAATTCATATACAGTTGAGAATTTTTTTTTTAAAGAGCAGAAACTGTTTTTTAAAAGGCCATTCTTTTTGCATACTTTTGAATACTACTAAATATATCACTAGTTTTTTTGCTTGACTTTTCAATGTCTGCTTTACTAGCAGCTCTGGTTTCCTCGGTGTTGACTGACCTTTCTGAACAGTGCGCCCCAAGTATCTGTCAAAGCCAGAATAAGGAGCCTGAGCTATAAACCTGCAGTGCCCCAGACCCTCATGGAGAAAAACAGCTCAGCTAGCTCAGGGATAAGCACAGTGGTGCCGCTCACGCAATCCTCGACTGGCCCCTTTTCCTCATAGACAGGCAATAAAGTACAGGTGAGCTGCTCAAGGAGACACTTTCTATTCTCAGATCTGAATGCTGCTGGCCAAGTGATGGTGGAAAGTACCTGTCAACGTGGTAGTCCACATTCAGCTAGATGCTCTTTTCAGGCCAAACACTGAGATAATTACTTACAGCGTTCACTGAGATAATTACTTACAGCGTTCACTGAAATAACCACTGAGTGATATGAAAGACACAGAACTCTGAAGGATGCAATAGGAGTAACATAGTAAAGCTAGACAGGACTCCAACCTTATTTCAGAATCCACATCTTTGCTTAGGAACTTAGGTCTTGTATTTTCTGATGAATAATAACGTCCTGCAAAAACCTGATCACCATCAGCAGTGAAAGCTTCTCTGCAATTTCTGGGGGGCTTCTGTGACTGCATTACTGCCCGAGCTACAGAATTACTCTACAGGAGAGACAGAAACACATTTTTAAATCAGTGCTGAACGATTTCTAATGGACACAATTTTGAAATATTAATTGTCAATATTTAAGATAATGTGAAATAGTCTTTCTGATTTTAAAGAAAAAAAAAGTTTTCAAAATAGGACGATAGATTAACAATGGTCAATGTATTGTGTACTGTTATCTTCAAAGTAGTTGCTCAAGCTATGATATAGACAAGAAAGATTAATTCAATAATACAGGCACAAACTTCTTTTTTTTTTCCTTTCCTTTTTTGGAGGAACCGAGGATTGAACTCAGGCTCTTGCGCTTACCAGGCTAGCACTTAGTCTAATGAGCCACCTCACTGGCCTCCAAACTTCTTTTTAGTGAATAAAAATTAATATATTTATCTTAGCTATTTTATGTATATATAAATAGATGTATACATATACACATATATTTTTCCTTTTCCCTTTCCTCCATCCCAGTTGTTTTATCCTTTTGAGGAGGTTCCCTTTCACAATATCTAGTGTACATTTTGGATCTTATTTACTTTTTCAATTTCTTACACAAGGGAGACAATATGACAATCTAGTTTATTTTACTTCTGAGTATGTTCTCTAGTTGTATCCATTTACATATAAATGTCTCAAGTTCAACCTTCATTATGGCTGAGTAGTATTCCATTATTTAAAAAAATCCTATCTTTTTTTATCCATTTCTTGATTGATGGACATTTGGGTTGTTCCCAAGATTTAGCTATTACAATTTGTGCTGCTAAAAACAAAGGTGTACATACATTACTGTGGTATGATGTTTTTAATTCCTAAGGGAAGATAACCAGAAAGGATTCAAATAGCTGGGCTTTGGAGTGTGACCTTCAATCCTACTTGGAGGGATCTCCACACTGACTTTCATAGTGGCTGCACTAGTCTGTATTCCCACCAACAGTAGAGAAGGGTTCCTTTTTCCCACAGCCCCTCTAGCATTAGTTATTAGTTGATTTCTTGACGATTGTTATTCTTTCTGGGGTAAGATGAAATCTCAGTGCTGTTTTAATTCACATTTCTCAAATGACCAACAATGCTGAGCATTTTTTTCATATATAAATGACAAGTATATATTTATCTCAGATGCCCACGGTTAGATTAGGTCTTTGAATTTGGGGGAGATTGAAAAAAATAACTTTTTTTCAGTTATTAGCACATTCTAGGTAGAAGTCCTTTAAGGAATTTTAAGTATTCTTATTTAAATATTCAAATAAGATCATTCTATTAACTTAAAGAATTTTTAGAAGTTCCAAGATTCAAAAATTAAAACTATACTTTAAAACCACTTAGTTAGTATACAGTGCTTCTTGAAAACTGGTATGTCTTATTTTTATATTTTACATTATTAACTAAAATTTAAAAATTAATTTTTCATATAAATATGTTCACTTTAGACAAGTTCATACCAATACTACTTTTTCTAAATGACTTTTATACCATGGAAAAGATCTGAGGCACTAGCAACACATCCCTCTAAAGATTAACATATCAAATTACACAAAGAAATCCAATAAATAAGAAATGGAAGAGTACAAAAGGTTAGTCAAAGCCTCCTCACCTTATGACCATTACAGTAATATTTACTTTCAAGCATTATTCTAAAACATGAGTATCATACTTATAACTACAATGTGACCTTGCATATACACACATTTGTGCTACAAAGCCCTTTAGTTTTCAATTTCCATAAATGAGAAAAAGACATTATTATGTTGTCTTTATTCTACTATTCCTGTTTCAAGAACCTTGTACCCTACTCAGCAAATTTACAGAAAAAGATAAAACAGAATATGGCAATCTAATCTAAAAAACATATATAAAAATACATACACAGATCAATATTAAAGATTTATTTTACAGAGTACAAAGATATAAGAAAAATAATTCATAAGGTAATTTCATTTAAAAGGTGTAATAATTGCTATGGCTTGTGTTTCTATACCCCCCCCCAAGCCTCCTGTAGTCACAGATGGGGCTTTAGGAAAGCTGGCTGGATCTAGGGCCAGTGACATAGCTCAGCAGACTAAGTGCCTGCTTAGTCAAGCACAGGGACTGGGTTCAAACCCTAGCACCACATGCCACGAGGGCCCCGCCCCCACACAGGCCGCACACCTATAATCCCAGCGTTGGGTGGCTGAAAACACAAGGATCACTATGAGTGCGAGCTGTGTAGTGAGACCCTGTACCAAATACATCAAAAAAACAAAAAGGTGGCGGGATCTAGAGTGTGTGATGCTGGAAACAAGGGTGTGTGGTTACTAAATTATTCCACTGACTGGTTTGGTGCAGTTTTCAGTGTAGGTAATGGGAATGTCCAGCCCTGGTGGGCCCTAAAGGTGCATAGAATATAAGAGACAGAAGGAGGGCTTCTGATGTGTGGCTTGCTGATTGCTACTTCACTGCTGGCTTCCTTCTGCCTGCCCTGCTTTGCTATGAACAGTTTCTCCTCTGTGATGTCCCTCTGCATGCCATACAGCCATGGAGCCAGCCAACTATGGACCAAAACTTCTATAAACTGTGAGTCAAATAAACCTTTCCTCCTTTAACTTCAGTGTGAGGTATTTTGACTCAGAAATGAGAAAAGTAGCTAAGACAATATATAAATCAATAATGACATATAAAAAAGAGATCTGGTCGCCAGGAAGTTAGCTCAGCGGTCTAAGTGCCTGCCTGGCAAACACAGGGACAGGGGTTTGATCCCCAGCAACATATGCCTGCCAGCCCTGCCCCAGGCTCGCTGAGCTGGCCACCGAAACCAGGTGTGGTGGCACATACCTATAATCCCAGAGCTGGGGAGGCTGAGACAGGAAGATCACTACAAGGTTGAATCACATAGTAGACCCTGTATTAAATACATAAATGTAAAACAAAAAGGGTGAGGGTGTCTGGCAACCAAACAAGAATAAATCAAAAAATTTTACAGCAATATGAATCAAAAGAATAGTATCTATGTGTACAATTATTATTATTATTTGTACAATTATTTTACAAAGAGTAAGTTGTAAAGACCTCTGGGAAAAACACAAACCAGCCAGATCTGTATTATCCTACAAATTTTTCTATGAAGTAAAGTACTGTGGTTTTATCATTAACTTCGTGATGAAAAAGGAATAGGAATTTACAAAACCATCTTGTTTTGAACATTTAAAAATAATCTATTTACAGCAAGCATGTAGTCTTACTTTGATTAGCAGCACAGTCTCTATGTTCCTCATGTCAATCAGGCTATTCGCAACAACTGCATTGTCTATTTCTAATGCTGTCAGAACTGTTGGAAACTCTGGATGATAAACAGTTCTAGGAGATAAAAAAGAAAGAAAAGACTTAACTTGCAAACTAACTATTAAGATAGGAAAACATGTAGACACAAAAGTTGTTTGCATGTATTTTAACAGGTCAACTGGTTATAAGACAATATAAAGTATCTGATAGCATTTAAAATATATAACAAGCTTATTTACAATTTAAAGTTATAATTTCCTTAAATCTCATAAGGCAGTCATAAATATAAAAGTCAAATAAAACATGTTTTAAATAGACAAACAAGAAAAACCAAGCAAAAATTTATTATCAACAGAGAGAGAGGGGCTGGGAGATGGCTCAGTAGAATAAGCGCTTCCCTGGCAAGCACAAGGGCCTGAGTTCAATGTCTGGTTCCACAAAAAAAAAAAAAAGAGAGAGAGAGAGAGAATTGATATTCTTATTAACTGAAATGTGGGCTCCTTAAAGAGATTCAATTTTTTCATTAAAAAGTTAAACATGCATTATTAAAAGTACTACCTAAAAATGGATATGCTAGGAGCCAGAGACAGTGCGGCAGTATAAGCACCTGCCTGACAAGTGCAAGGTCCCAAGTTTGATCCCTGGTACCAAAAAAAAAGAAAAGAAAGAAAAAAACAGGATACATTAAGAACAGTAGATACAGGAGCAACAAATGCCCAAGGGGGAATAGAAATACTACTCCTGCGCTTTCTTAGTCCTAGATGTCCAAAACAAGGATAATTTCTTTATACACTGTGTATGTACTATACTTACGTATTAGCTGAACAAACATTGACACAGTACCTACTATGTGCTGGGTACTGTTCCAGAGGACAGAGAGCACCCTTAAGAAAAGATCACTCGTTTACCTCGTAAACTTACATTTTATAAAAGGGAAAAGGGGCCAAAGTAGGATATACAGTTTTTCACACACAAAAAGGAAAAGCTTCACTCATGTGACATGGGCAGACATTAAGGAGGAAGGAGAGCAACTGCAAACAAGCCAGCCAGTGTGAGCGGTGAGGGCAACACTTGTAGAGACAGATGTGGGAGGACAGCTCCTGGGGCCATAGAGGTCACTGCCAGGTCCACAATAAAGGAAACTGAGGAAGTATGTGATGCTTCCTATGGCGCACTGACAGGGTTGACCTGGATGCTGCTTTCCATACAGACTCTGATTTGGGGGAACTAGAAGCAGGAAAATCAGCCTAACAATTACAATATTCAAGTGAAGCACATGGAGGCTGGAGTCACACTGGAAGCCACAGATGTCAGATCCTGAAGACATTTTTCTTTTCTTTTTTTTTCCATTTATGTATTTGGTACAGGGTCTCACTACTCAGCGTGGACTCCTAGTGATCCTCCTGTTCTCAGCCTCCCCTGTGCTGGGATTACAGGCATGTACCACCATGCTCAGACTTTGTTGTAGGCTCAGTGTGCCCCAGGGGCAGGGCTGGCAAGGCACATGGGACTGGGGATTGAACCCGGGTCCCTGCACTTGCCAAAGCAGGTGTTTAGTCCACTGAGATATCTTGCTGGCCCTTCTGAAGACAATTTTCAACTCCAGCCAACAAGGATGTGGAGTGTAGTAGACTGAATCTTGATCAAATGAAAAAGATGGAGAGAATTATGGGGGTGGGCTTTAGTGTAGAAATTAATTTAGCTTTTAGATTTATTAAATGTGGAATACTCTAGAGTTCAGAAGAAGTAGCCGAATGGTGATGTACCTTGACAATCAGGGGTATGGGATGTGTATTTAAAGTCATGAAACTGGAGCACTCACATTGGAAGGAAGTAAACTTGAGGCAGAGTTCAGGATCATTGGTATAGTTGTGGTAAAAAGGAACAGCAAAGTACTAGGAAAGAATACTTGGGCAATAGATCGGAGGAATGCGATTCCTGGAGCCAAGCGAAAACACATTTCAGAAAGAATAAAATCGTCAGCAAGGTCAAATATTTAGGTAAGCCAAGTCAAAAAACAGTAAGGGCTGACTTTTTTTTTGTACTAGGAATTAAGCTTTATGTCACTGAGCTATATACCCAACCCAAGGGCTGACTGTTAAAGTAACGTGAGGGCTACTATTACCTTGACAAGAGTGGTTATGGTATGTGGTGTCAAGTCAAGCATGGTTTAGGTTCAAGAGAAAAGGGAGAGAAACCGGGAACACAGACAACTCCTTTAAAGAGTTTTCTCATTAAAGAAAACAGAAACAAGACAGTAACAACTAACTAACGACCTTTTAGGATACAGTTCTAGCAGGACTAAAAAGGAGAGCAGAAAAGATCAGTGAAACAAAGTAAGGAATGAGCAGGTAAGGAGAATAAAAGTAGCGGAGGGGGTAGTGGATACAGTGACAACTGAGCAGGCATATGCCATCATTCCATGGAGCTGCTACCATTAGCTTACTCTCACATACCAAAGACAAGGTCATATCTTCTTCTTGTCTTTGGGATTATGTACTGGGTTACACTACAATTAATTTATCATAATTAATTAGAAGTTAAGAGATGCTATAAAATCAGTCTAGAAAAATTCTAAGACAGAATTTTAACAATACAATGTCAGTGGCAGGAGATGAGAGTGCGATAGGAAGAAGGTTTACTAAGTCAGGTAAAAGCCTAAAGAAAACACAGGGGCAAAAGAAAACTACTTTTCTTTTTAAAAAAATCTAGGAAGCCATAATAACCTTCATTGATAAGAGGAGTTCAAGGAAAACATTATTTTATGACTCTGATAAAGCTTTTTAAAAAATCATAGCAAAAACACACAACTGAATTTAAACATTAAAAAAAAAAAAAAAAAAAAAACCTCTTAAAAGACCAGGGAGATAGCTCAGCAGAATAAGTGCCTGAGCACCTGCCTGACAAGCACAAGGTCCTGAGTTCAATTGCCAGCACTGGGGGAAAAAAAAAAAAAACTTAAAATTTATCATATTTTTGTTAAGGATTTTTGTTCTTGTGGGGGAGAAAGGGAGGAATAGCCCGGAATCAAATTCAGGACCTTGTGCTTGCCAGGCAGGCACTATGACTCTGAGCTATATTCACAGACCAATTTATCACATTTTTAAAGGTTTCAAATATAAAAATAAATAGAAAAACGAGAAGTGACCAAGAACAGAGCTGGGAAAAGCTCTACAACAACAGAGGTAAGAAATGAAAAACCCACAAAACAGGCTGAGAAACATGGCTATTAGTACAGAAAGAGAACCAAGAAAATCGTGTTGTAGAAACAAAAAGAATCAAGGTTCTAAGGTGCAGGTAGTCCCTAAGAGAAAGTAATCTCATGTGAAAGTGCATGCACCTACATTCAGGGCCTCAGAGTAGTGATCCAAGAATGTGACTGTACAGGACCTCCTGTGAAGTTTGGCCTTGCACATTTTATTTTTTTTATTTATTTATTTTAATTTTTTGGGGGGGCCTTGCACATTTCAAAGTGGAAAGAGAACAATGGAACCTGAAGCTTGGCAGAGATTGTTTTAAAGTGGCTCAGGATTCAGAAAAGACTGTAGGCAATTCATAGGGAAAACATTAGCCTTACTTAGAACACATCTTTACTGAGAAGTACATATGCAGCCACAGCTAGGGTGGGGAACAGCCAGGTAAGTAGTTCTGATGCCTCTACTTTTACAAAGAGGAACTGGGCATCTTCACTGACCATTTCCCTGACAGCCGGGCACACTGCTGAGCATCTTTGCTATGGTTATCTATCTAGTGTAAACATAAATGAAGGACACTAGTCTTATTCATCCATGTGAACACGGTGGTATCATCGTACTTGTTAAATGGTCCTGGGAGGTACGATGAGCACCAAACAAATCATTTGGCAGGAATGAGTAGCAAGTCATGAGGCAACTGACACCCACAAACTGAATTTGCACAGAGTACTAAAGAGACACAAATACTGAATAAAATGTGTCAATATGTGCTGAGTGCCAAAAAATGGCAACTTGTTAAAGCAGTCAGGTACTAAGCTATGACTAGTATTTCACTGTCCTTTTTTACATAAAATAACATATCCAATTTTTAAATGTAGAATTTCAACCACTATTTTTAGTACACACATACACACATACACACATACACACACAGTCCTGTCAAAACAGGTAATACAGCTAACATTCAACCAACATGGAAGATTCTTGTCAGTATCCTGTCATCAGGCAAAATGCTTAACATCTTAAGTTTCACTATTCCAGCAACTGTGTGCCTCAGTACATATTCTTGAAGCCAAAATATGAATTTTTCTATCATCTGAACCTGGTCCTGTTCCATAAGGTCTTTAAATTCCTCACTCTTACATAATGTCCTATCTTCCCAGGACTCACTCTTTTCAACTACTCTCAATAGCATCTTCAACTGCTTTCCTCCTCTCCTGTCATACCTCACTTTCCTATCTAAAAACTATTATGGCACTAATCCAACAGAACACATTTCCACTGCCTTCTATGGGTGATGCTACATGATTAGTAAACTTCCCTGCAACTGTGTACATGTCTGTAAGCTAAGTGGGCTCTGAGTCAGCTTCTTCTCTGGTTCATGGCAGCTGGTCTACCGCTCTTAAAAGGGTAACTCCCAAGCCTACTAACCAACTCCTTAGGCCCTCACTCTTGGCACGTGAACTCACATACTTAGAAAATAATGGATGCTGTACCACAAGATTAGAAATCAAGTGCCCACAAGAGCCCCCTGTTCTTACAGATGGGACTTCTGGAAGGTCACAGATTATGGGGTTTATAGCTGACTGCTGTTGGATAAAGGGTCTGGCTGGAAGAGGTGGGACACAGAGGTGAGATGTGAGAGGATGTACCTCCCCTTCGCTCTGCTTCTCCGTCACCAGGATCTGAGCAGGAAGCCTCTGCCAGGCTTTTCCACCAGGGGTCTCCTTTACTATAGCAATTTCCTAGCACAACTAAAATTTCACTTTCACTAGCTGAGAATCAAAGCTGGGAACAAACACGAATTCTCATGCAAAGAAAAAATATTTTACCTCTAACTCCAAAATACTTCTCTCTAGTCTAAAAAATTGAAAAAATCAGGATTTTCAAAACAGGACTTCATTCACTTCTGATGAATCTACTTTTTTTCCCCTTACTTCTACTGAATCAATTGATGACATACTGCTTAGTAGCTATCTAGTCAGACACCTAGGGAATATACTTGACTCTCATTACATTCCACTAGTAAGTTTTTTTAGGTCCTAAATATCTGTTAATTGATTCTTTCTTATCAAAATTATAAATGATGCTTTTTGTAAAATAATTTACAATGTTACAGCTCCATGCATTTTTCACATGGAATCTTACTTGCCTAGAAGCAAGTTAATCTATTCTATCACTTAAAAGACTGATGGCTTCTCACCAACTATTCACCACAGAGTGTGATCTAAAAAATACAGTGAATGTTTGAAAGAGACACTGCCAAGAACAACAGGATGTGTTCAAAGCAACAGGCAATTAGGAGGGTATAATTAATGGCAGGGTGTGGTCTACTGTAATAAATTTAAACGTTCATCTTATTTTTTGTTCTCCTTGATCAAATGTTTATAGCGATTTCTGACAAAGAAAAACATTACAATGTGTCCTCATCCACTTTATTTACCAGGTCTGGTCCCTGTGACTCCAACTTTTGCCTCATGTCAAAATATCTAAGAAAGGCAAATAGGTGAATTATTTAGGACAGCTATGCCTCCTAGGATGGTAGCATAGCTACAGGTACTCATGAAAATGGACTCCAAAAATACTTCAAACGGTAGCAAGAATACGGGCTAAGTGTGCTGAAAACTGGAGTATCTTTGAGTAAGATTAGCAACAGTGTTTTTTGCTGTAATACAATTTTTAAATTTAAGCAATCAACTTTGTTTCCCATCACAATTCATGAGGTAGCAACTTCCTCATCTGAACTTCATCTATGTCTTATGATATAATTTACTCAAATGCAAAACCACAGCATTTTACTTCATTTTTTTTTTCTTAAAGCAAAAGTAGGATTCACAAGAAAAACTAAGAACAGGAGAAATTTTACAGTGTGACCTGAGAATAGATACAAACTTTATTTTTTAGAGAATGTGGCTATATTTGCATAGGCTGGCCTTAAACTCCTGGCTCAAAATCCTCTTGAATAGCTAGGACAACAAGAATGCACCCATACCTGTGGCTCATGTACATCAACTTCAAAAGTACTGTTTAGCCAATAGTTACCCAAGAATCAGCTTGAGAATTGTGTTCTTGAGAAAGTTTCTTAGAGTAAGAAAACAAAGCTCTCTGTGAATTCTGTGATCATATTCTCAGAGTTTAATTCAGTAATGAGTACCAGTGCTCTGCCTTACAATCTCTCTCCTAGTTTGGTTAGCTCTGTACCATTTCCCCTATCAGTCTAATTTCACTGCTACGGTGTGTCTGGCTCCTTGAAGAATCTTCCCGTACTAGACCTCATGGAAAAACCTTAAAGTTCTAAGAAACTCTTTCTAGTTTTCTCCATGCCTTGAACTAATGCTCAGACTGAAAACAAAGTGGCTTAATAAAGTTTTACACTACCAAAGACACAGTTAACATGAAGTGTGTTAACTCTTTCCAACTTTGCACATGATAAAGAAATATATTGTGATTACCTGTGTCTTACATCATACATCTCATTCTGGAATTCCGAAACTATTATCTGTGGCCGTGAGGTTCCAGGTGAATAAAATCTTTTCATTAGTGCCTGAAGTACTCTTTCATCAGCATGATTATGGCAGCAATAGGCTTGCAGAAGTCCTTTCAAGCAAGATTCAATAGCCAAGGCAAGTTCGGGGTCCCGAAGGTGAATGCAAGCTCCTAAAAATTACAGAATGTTATAAAGAAGGGTTCGTATTTATTTGGAAATGTTAATATATTCTTTTTTATAACAGTTCTTAAGCAAAAACAATGTGTTCATGGAAAGCATCTTAAATGATACTACAGATCTTATTGTCACTGAGTTGGAAAAGCCCCAAATATCCAATAGACACACAGAGGGAAAACAGCCACAAAAATTTGTGAAAAAACAATTGTTCTATCCTACTACGGTACATGAACAGTAGTTTTGCCATGTAAGTTTATATCATTCAAGTTTCTCACTCATGCTTTGAAATCAACTAAAAAAGATTTACAGACTATTACTTTCTAGAAAGCCAATTAACTCTGAGATTTTAGATTTAAGAAGAAAATACAAAGCTTTCACTAAAATGGATCCCAGTAGATAGGTACTTATCATTTAACAGATTCCTCCTGGCTTGAACACCTGTGGTACATGTATGACTGTCCCAATGGTTGGCACAAGTCATATGAAGGGACATCGTATGTGTACCATTGGCAGTTCAGAGACACCCAGCTGTGACACAGAAATCATAGTCTCATCTGTGCATGTACTCAATGAAAAGACACTACTGCCATCATTAAAAGCAATTTGGTAATAAAAAGCATGTATAGCATCATTACCACCTAATGATGTACAGAATTAGAGGTAATTGCCCAGGAGAACTTAACTAAAAATCTTTTTTAAAAAAAGCTCATGTGTCTATGAACATATTTCAATAACCACAGATTTTACAACTGAAAGATGTCCTGGAAATCATGCTGTATAGTCTACAAAAAAAACAAGAGTTAAAAGCCATCTTATAAATACTACATAAAATCCAGGAGTGTGTTCCTTTCACTGTATCTTGATACCATCTGATTGTCTGATTATTCAATTATATTCAAATTAGTTTATTCATTTAATTCATTCAGGAGAGAAACAGGAACCAGATGATTTAACTCTGTAATTCCTTTACCTTAGGAGTGCTTTGTGCTTCACAAGTTCAAAAGAAAACTACAGAGTTAAAAGTGGCTTTATCATTGTTTAAAACATGTACAATCAAAGACCACATACTGTAACTAAACTCAATAATGCCTTCCCTGAAAATAAAATTCTTTCCTAATGCTTACTATACCCTCACCCATGACAAATACCTAAAGGGCCTATAGGTTTGTGGGTAAAATATCCACGTTGGTAAGCATCATCTATTGCTTCCAGAAGAGCTGGAACATGAGGACCAAATCGTTTTAGTCGATCAGTTTTACTATCTTTTAATTCTTTTAGTTGCCTCTGATTATAGTTCAGTGCATGCTTCACATCTAATTCTTCCCTCCTAAAAAAGAACAAAAGCAGAAAAAAAGCAGGTGATAGTTACATAGAAATATTCTTTAGGGGGCAGGAGAGATGGCTCAGTGGAATAAGTGCTTCCCTGGAAAGTGCAAGGGCCTGAGTTCAATCCCCAGTTCTACTAAAAAAAAAAAAAAAAAAAATTCATTAGAGGGCCAGTCAGATAGCTCAGCAGCTAAAGCGCCGGATTAGACAGAGCACAGCCACCAGGGCTGAATCCCCAGTGTGCTGTGCCAGCCCTGCCCCTGGGGATGGTGGTGCACACCTGTAGTCCCAGCCCTCTGGAGGCTGAAAACAGGAGAATCGTTATGAGTCTGAACTGTGCAGTGAGACCCTGTAGACTCTATCCTAAATACAGAAAATAAATAAATATATAAACAAACAAATGGCTGGCCAATTAGCTCAGTGGATTAAAGTACCTGCAAGCAGGTGCAGTGGCCGGGGATTCGATCCTCGCGCCTGCCATGCTGGCCCTGCCCCCAGGGCATACTGAGAGGATGACTTGAGACTGGGTATGGTGGCACGCACCTGTAATCCCAGCTCTTGGGAGGCTATAAACAGGCAGATCACTATGAGTCTGATGTAGTAGTGAGACCCTGAACACCCTGTAGACCCTTCCCTAAAATTAAAAAAAAAAAAAAGCAATATTCTTTAATATATCCAAAGCATGACCCAGTTACCCTAAAAACTACAAACAGAATCATTACCTGAAAACAATTACATAACCAAACAAAAAAAAGTCAGTAATCCTCTGACCTCAGTATCAAAATAGTGATGAACAAGGAATAAGACAGTATATTAAAAGTGATTTCAAAAGATCTCATTACTTTTAGAAGAAAAAACAACTCATGGGGCTGGAGAGATGGCTCAGTGGTCTAAAGCACCTACTTGGAACAAGCTTGGCAAAGCACAGGGACCGCGGTTCAATCCCCCAGCACCACATGCCAGCCAGCCGCGCCCCCTGGTGGGCTGAGCTGGCCACACACACACACACACACACACACACAATAAATGTTAAAATAAAAAAAAAAATTAAAAAAAAAAAAAAAGAAAAAACAGCTCATGTACAGAGCAACTTCATGTACAGAGCAAAACTATATGCAAGTTCAAGAAGTAAAGGAGAGGGGCTGGTGAGATGGCTCAGTGGTCTAAAGCACCTACTTGGAACAAGCTTAGCAAACCACAGGGACCACGGTTCAATCCCCCAGCACCACATGCCAGCCTGCCCCGCCCCCTGGTGGGCTGAGCTGGCCACACACACACACACACACACACACACAATAAATAAATAAATGTAAAAAAAAAATTAAATTAAAAAAAGTAAAGGAGAAAAATTGGGATGTTGCAGCTCACCTAATCCTGTCGTGCTCTGCTCTGTCCCTTTCTATAGCCTGTTGAAATTGTTCCATCTCTTGATTGACTGAATTTTCCTGGTCCTGAAAGGCTTTTAATCTCTCCTTTAACCAACATATTTTTTTTTGCCTTTCCAACCGTTCCGTTTCCAAAAACTGATCAGCACTAACAGTAAATATAAAATTTTGAATGTTAAATTACAAAGTTAACATTTAAAAAGCATAATTCAATAAATTCCACTTACACCTTGATTCCTTTAATACAAAATGAAGTAATAATGAAAATTGCAAAATAATTATCCTACCTTTTTTTAAGTTCCTCAATTCTTTTACAAAGCTGCTCGCCATCTTTCTTTAATGCTTTATATTCATTTAGGGAATGGTTATATAAAACCTAACAAAAAATTTGACAGGACTTCAGTAAAATGAAATATCAATTATCCCTTCAAGCCCACTTTTGCAGATTTTCAAACTGAAGGATGAGCATGACCGCTGGAGTAAGTACATTTTTTAAGCTTAGGAAGCAACAGAGTTCAATCCCAGTATAAAGCCACTCCTTGTAATGACAGATGAGCACTCTTTGTACAAATTCACTCTATAATTTTTAATATTCCACATTTGACATTTCTCTCACCTCAGCTTCATTATAGTCCTTTTTCTTAGCAGTGACATCTGCTTTTAATGCCATACATTCTGGTGCTCGTGCATTTGTCTCTTGACTGATCTGTTCTAGTTTATCCTGAATGTCCTTGTATTTTTTTTCAGCCTCATTAAGTTTGACCTTTAAGAGAATAACATTATTTGAGTACATTTTATTTTTCCTCTACTAAAGAGAAGCAAAATTTAAATTACAGTCCATACACAACAATAAATTTAATTTCATATAAGATATTATATAAGCAAACATAGCTATAAATAATACTAAAACATAATTTCACTTTATGGGTAGCTAACAAATGCAGTAATCCTTTAGTGATGGAAAGATATAACTGCACCCAAATAAGACAAAAGGAGACAGATGGACATAATTTAGTAGAGAAACAGACAAGATGGTGGTAAAGTTTGTATCCATCACTGCTCAGACAGTGTCTGTGGACTGCAGAAGCCTAAACAGGGGATAATGGCAGGAGATGGATGATGGGAGTTGAAGGCCTTGTCTCCCACAGCAGTTTAAAAAAAGCTTGAAACAATCATTTAGACTACAAAACTGCAAAATATATACCAACTGGCAAGTCTGAACACTCTGGAAACACTCAGAAGGCAAGCAGGAAGAAAAACAGTACAAGCAATGCTTCTGTAAGTTAATACAGTATTGTATAACAAAAATCATAAGGGATCACAACAAGACACTGGCAAACAGGCAAGGATGAGAAAAGACAGATCAAAGGTCAGTAAACACATTCTTTAGAGCCAAACTGTGCAAACTCCAAGTGCTATCAGCCATACAGTCCTTGTCACAACTACTGAGCCCTACAATTGTTGGCACGAAAGCATCCATATACCAGCAACACGCCGAAAATCAGTTTTTCAAAAAAATTGAAGTTAGATCCAGGTGTGTCACACAAATTAAATATAAAGCACATGATCACAATTTGTTTTAAATTAGATTAACAAAAGTTTAAAGTCATCTTTAAACATCATTTCTTCAGAAACTGATTTCATAGACATTCTATAAGCAGTTACAAAATATATACTTTGTGACAGGCTTGTCATAGAAAATTATAAGCAGAAGTATAAAGTAACATAGACCTTATCTTCCAGGAATCTGCCATTTATGACACAAATGGTTAAGTGGGGCAAAGAACTACAGAACTAAACATCACCATCTGAAAAGAGGTTGTTCAATGTTTAACCTAGGCCATGTCTAAAAGGGAAGTACTTAGGCCCTTCCACTACAACAAGCTGACAGGAGGAAAAATACTGGAGATGTTTTCAGATTACTTTCACAGAAATAAAGCCTCATGGGCTGGGCATATAGCTCAGAAGCATCAGTGGCAAGGTCCCAAGTTCAACCCCTGGAAGGAAGGAAGGAAGGAAG